GGTTTAGTCTAAAATAGTATTGAGCAGGTTCGTATGAGCATGCAATTTAGCCACTTTTTCATATTTCAATAGCGCGAAAAATGCAAGGATTTGAAACAAGCTACCAGTAAATACTTTCTCATTAACCAGTATATTAACTTTCCTGTCTTACAATTTCACAATACCTTCCAAAATATCTCAGGAATGCTGCTCAAACAGACATTTCGAACATTCTAAAGAATTGATTGATGACACACATTGACATCTGAAAAGTTCTTTGTACTGGAAAAAAAAAACGCGCATTCTCGAGATCTTAGTATCTTTCACGGCTAGGCGCTAGGTTAGCATTGTGGTCTTGGTGTCCTCTTTTCAAAAATTTTCTCGCATACCACTGCTGCTTATCAATGTGTCTTGTCTAATGCTGCTTAGATATTGTTGGTTTCGCTAGTCTTATTAGATTATACGTCATGTCTTGTTCCGTCTTTCATGTGCACTACATCCCTGTCTTGCGTCTATGTTTTGTCCAAAGTGCCCGTCAGTGTTAATTTCAGAATCGCGAATACCACCATCAGTTCGTAGCGCCGTGTCACCACGTCGCTCATTTCGACAGTCAAAACAATGGCCGCCACCGCCATCTGCGCCCATACCTCGCTTTTGGCAGATAAGTCCAGCCATGCAATTCCGGAAGAGCGAGGATCACGAACCGTTGTCGTTGCACGACTTGATTGAGCTTACAGACAAGGAGGAATCAGAATCGCCAAAGCCTCGACGAAGAACAAAGCAGAGGAGGGATCGCCAGCGAGCTGCTACGGCACCTGTCCTACAAATCGCTCATTCAAAAATCTTTGAGAAAAACACAACAGGTGACGTAACGATCAAGGAAGACTCGACAGCACTCAGCGAGGAGGAAGTGTCGACGAATATAACTTTAGATAAGGCAGAGACAAATAAGAGAATCCAGGGCATTGTGTCACATTTCCCTCTTAGCGCTGAACTAAGAACTCGCTGTCCAGTAGAAAAATGTCCC